GGCATCGTTGTATTTTTACTCAGTTGTATATAGCATTTGTATTCTATTTTTATCTTATTGTATATTTTATTCTATTTTATTCTACTGTATATAGTACCGGTATTTTATTTTATTCTATTCTGTACAGTTGTGTACTATATTTATTCTTATTGTATTCTAATTTTTGATTCATAACTTTTGCACTGTCCACTTCCTGCTGTGACAAAACAAATTTCCCACGTGTGGGACTAATAAAGGTTATCTTATCTTATCTTAGATCTATGTTCACATCTGCAAGCATCTCCTCTGATTGGACTTTGCCAGTTAGCTGGAGGAGTTGTACCCTTGGTTGTGTGGATGCTGTGACTAAGTGGGTGAGAACACCATTTGTCCAGAGTTGAAGTTTGCTATTCTTAGTTAACGTTTGTGTTTTGATTTAGCCATACCTTATTTTAATTATGTAGTTTGCAAACATTTACTATCCCGGTTTTGTTTATGTTTTGTACTTTTACAGATTATATAATATAGCATCTTGGCTTAAATCAACATTGACAAGTTTGTTAAGTTAACATTTTATTTAATTCAACTGTTAATTTGTCTAGTTTACTTGGTTTGAACTCACCTGACTTACCTGTGTTCCAGGAGCAAAAGGAGGAAGTGATGCCTCACTTCCTGTATTTATAGCTTCTTTTTTGGTTTGGATGTCACAGGAAGAGACCAGGTGAAGAGGGGGAGAATTGGTGTAATTGAATAAAGCCGATTTTAGGATTGTGTTTGTTAGAGAGATATGTATTGATGTAACATGTATTGACTACACCTTTGAGTGTTTTATTGCTAATAAAGAGTAGCATCATACGTTTATTAGAATGGTAATGTTTATCTTACCTATTGAATGGAATAGTCCAGAGGAGGATATCGTTTGGAGTATTTAAGCAGAAGAACTCAGATGTTCAAGGGGAGAGGGCCAGGTCAGTAGTGATGGGCAGATGAGGCTTCATGAAGCACTGAAGCTTTTCATCCAATTGGTTCACCCCAGCGCAAAGCATCTTGAAGCTTCATTTGCTCTAGTAGGACACCTACTGGACGTAAAAATATTAGTTGGCATGAATTTGAAGAGTGTGGCATTTTGCACACAGCCTGTAAATGTCAACAACAAAAGGAGTGTGTAAAACATGTATATTGTAGTGGTGGCAGTATACTGTGTATATTTATATTGGCAGTATGGAAAATGATTATTTGGAAATGCTTAAAATGGAAATGATCATTTACTGTGAGGTGAGGTGTGGGCAGTGGTTGTGCTTTTGTAATGTTGAGGTATGGACAGCTACAGACTGAGGCCTCAGTCCAGCCTGTTCACATTTTATTCAGTAAAAACTAAATTTTCACTGCTTTTATTGCCTTTTTAGTGGGGAGAACATAGCTAGGATTTAATGATTTAACAAATCTTTTGAATCCTTTGTCCTCCACAATGCTAAATGGCTGGGAGTCCTCAATCACCATGCTGACCAGGTCTTCATCTATTTGAGATTGTTCTCCTGAGGAAAGACAATAAAAGCAAAGCACAAATATAAATATCACACATGTAACTTATAACAGTTGTATAATATTGTTATATCATTTAGTAACATTACGGCATGCTATATTATCATGGCATTTGATGGCTCACCTGGTCTTGCTCCACAAACGGTGTCCCCCTTATTCTCATGCAAAGCTCTGTAGTGCCTAAGCATGGATGAGGTGTTGTTGTTATATCCCAGCTCCCTGGCACATAGCAAACACTTCACCTTGTACAAAAGTAAAGACAGCTCAACATAAATTGTATTGCACCATCAGTATCATGAAAATACATCTTCTGTAGAAATTTACATACCTTGTTGGGAGGAATAAGATCAAAATGTTCCCACACAGGGGAGGACATCCTCCTCTTCTTAGCTGGCTCCATTCTCTCCTGACTTTCTCTCCTCACTCTCATAAACCTCCAAACTCTCACTAACCGCAACTCTCCATCAAACACCCACATTTTGAATGAAGTCTGAGGGATTTGTGATTATCGTTTCACAACCAGAGTTGGTTGCTTTAACAGATGATCACAGACGGGTATATGTCAAAGTTAATTTAGGAAGCGGTTTTTAAACTACTTCAAGTAGTGGCAGCAAATACTCACATCTGTTGTCCTTTGGGCTCAAAAATGACCCCGTCTGGTTTGAATATTTATAAAGCAATAAGTATAAAATATCATTCATCTCTGTGTTTCAAGGTTTTATTCATCTTTATTCCAACTCATTACCTGACATTTTTCTATATTTTGGCATGGTAGGACACCAGGGCATGGGTCTGAGTGAAGGCAAACTTTCATGAGGACAAAGCCGTGTCCATATTTCACACAAGTGCAGGAGGAAGCTCAGGTTTATTCCTCTGTACTGGGCCCTATTTCAGGAAGCCGGTTTAGAAAACTCAGAGTGAAAAACGATACTCAGCGTTGAGTAACCCCAAACTGTCCAACTCTGAATATTCGGTTTCAGAAAGGCTGATAACAAGTAGTTCAATCAACGCGGAGTTGCTTTAACCCCAAGTTAAGCGCGCGCACGAGGATACATAAAGCCCTGATTAGTGGAGCACAGATTAAGCGAGTCACCATGGAGACGGAGGGAAAGAAGGCGCGGTCAATGTATTTTACAGCGCTTGAGGC